TTTCCAATCAAAACCATTCCCATCAAGCAAGAAAAGGAATCGCAGCAGACTCAAAAGGTCATTTATCTCTGGTGGATGGAGGTAGATTAGCCAAACAGAGCAGCTCCTGTTTAAAACAAACTGCAAAATGGACCAACGGACAATCCGCCCTTGGGCTCTCGGGTATCGCGCTGTAGAAAGAGAGCTTAAAAAGCAGATTGTGTGGGTGAATGAGAGGAACAGATACAGACGCTGAGAGAAAGTCATTTAGAGGATCCACTGAGAACTAATGGATCACATATCAGACAGCAAAAGTGATTGACTGCAAATGAGTCAAACTGAAACAACAAACTGCCACCTTAACTTTCCATCCTGTCAGTGATATGTGTATATTTATGTTCACCATCATAACACTGTTAAAAGTAGTTTAAAACAACTGGAATAGCCTTTAAACCCAATAAGAATAATTGGAAATAATGCTAGTCTATTTAAAGAAGAAAAAAAATTATATTTATATATTTTATTTAATTGAAATTTAAAGCAAAACCTATTCAAACAGATTCAGTCCTTACTGACAATGTGTGTTATTGTTAGGGATTGTGACTGTAACATCCAAGACGGAAAATATTCAGCAGAAACAGACCCGATAAAGGATTCTGAAAGGTTAAAGAAAGAAAAATGGTTTGTTTACAAGTGAAACAAGCAATCCTAAAACCCCTTAAAACATCAGAAAAGAAAAAAAATTGAGGTTTTGGGAAAGTGCCTCAATGCCATTTACTGTATGAGCTTATAATAAACAAATCTGATATCTATTTAAGAATGGACTGTATTACAATATGTGCAATTAAAAAGATATACTGCTATCACTGATTAAATAAATAGAGAGAACAGCTGCATGTTAATTGGACCCCATAAACAGCAGTTGCCGTGAGACTAACGTGCCATGATGTGCTCTCATCAATAATTTACTAATCAAAAGGTTAATAGGAAATATTATGTGCCAAACTTTTGTAAATATTCAACAAATTTCTAGTTATTCTGGCCTTGATTCATAAACCACCTCTAGAAAGCTTACCACGCAATATTCAATAAACACTTTCCATTAAGTCTGCAAACAAAATGGATTCAAAAATGTTCATAAAAATGTTAACCAAAGATTTTCAAATGTACCTATTCGTGCTTAAGAAAGAGTATAGACATGCAATACGGCTTTAATCATGTTTTAAGTCACTCTTTCGATGTATAAATAGGCATTATAATGTTGTTTGTTATTAATAAGAATATGTGATTAAAAGATGCATTTTAAGAATGCATTCAAAATACCACTGCAATGCATTATTCATACAGACTTTATAAAAAGTGTTACTCTGAATTCTTCTCCATGCTCATAGATCTTCGGCCACAAAGTCTCACATGTCCTGCCAGCTTCCAATCTGGAGACACTGGGCAAGATGCTGTCCATGGATGCTGTGGGTACCATTACACAGCATCATCCCTATACTCGACTCTGCTGGGAGGAGCTGAAATGTGCATGTCGATGAAAATAAAGCCTATTTTGTGGTATTGCGATCTGGCCAAGAGTTGAGATTGTACAGGAAGCATCTCTTCGTGGAATATCTCTACGCCTTGATTAAGATGGCAGGCAATAGAGATAGCATGCGATATCAGAGAAAACCAACAAAGAGCATCGTTCAAAGGAAGTCATGCAGAGATGGAAAAAAAAATGTTTCAAATTTGCAAACCATGAACACAAACATGTCATTGCTTACCTTAATCCTTTGCAAGCTAGGGAGCTCCTCTATAAGGGATTCATCTTTCTTCTATTCACTTCAGCTGACTGTCTATTTCAGAACTGTCAGTTTCAGCCATAAATGTGTCATCTGTGTGAAATACAGTTAGTTTGATCGTAATATCCATATCAAACGAGGGAGTTACTTGCCGGATAGCGTTATTTCTTTCTGCCGACAACGTCGATTAATTCATTTTTCGGAAAGAAAGGATTATGCCATATTGCAGGAATATTATATATCTCCATGTTATTGAGAGCCCTTGACAGCAGCGTACACTCCAGTGATGATACTAAATATTTTGCCGTGTATTTTCATCTGTCCGTTCTGTGTTTTTTGGCGAGGAGAGATGATGGGTGTGCGAATAAAGGCATAGAGGTTTTCTTTCGTACGGAGCCTCGGAGGGTTCAAACGCAGGTTCGCTTATTCGCCGCAAGAGGACGCAGTTTATATCGCCTCGATGTCTTGCTATGCAAGCATGTACTGTTTTGTTTGGTATTTCTGGTTTTAAACATTTAATTATCATTTACTTTTATGTTAGCATTTTTTTTTTGTCCTAGTAGCATCTCTTTTCCAATTATTATGCAGTTTGAGTTTCACACGAGCAGGATTGAGCGCGAGAGAAACAAACATCCATCGTGGTCCATTCTTTGGCCAAATGTTTGTTCACTGCAGTTCAGTCAACAATGAAATAATGCACGTTACTGCTGTCGCGAATGGCAGGCGACGCTCAGTGTAGATTCATGTTTCTTAAAGGGTTACCTTATTTAAGATTTTTATAAATTTTCTATAGAAATATATATAGCATCAAGCAGCAGCCGTGACAAGCGATGCACCTCCTGAACAAGCGACGCTTGAAAGCCATGCAACAGTATCGCGTCCTTTGGCGCCATCTGGTGGATGTTTGAAGCTGTCACCTGACCGCTGATGCTTGTTCAATACTGCATTTAATAAATCATGAATAACCTTCAGCGGAGTAATGCACATCGTTGTCTACATTTGCAAGTTGTATGATGTTTTTTGATTTGCTTTAAACAGCAAAAACAAACCATTCTTTTTTTGCGAAAATTGATTTATAAATTCTTTATATGTAAACACGTGAAAACTTGCCTCACGACTTTGATAACAAATACTGTTATCCTGTTATGTTCCAGAACAAGGACATATTTGACCCACTTTCCTGCAAAACCAAAAATGAGTAAATAAAGCTTATGTTAAAAATGTACACTGCAGAAAACCAAATACATAGTCAAATTGAGAAATTCTATTTTAATTTTCTTTCAATTTATTAATGTACATTATGCATGTTTCTTCGTTTATTCACATATTTATTTCCATCAGTTCTTTTTAATAAATTGTTTTCGTTCAGAAAAGATGCACTTAATGTATCAAAAGTGACAGTTAAGAATTTCACATTGTTAAAAACAAGATTACCATGCAACACCATCCGATGTCCCAGGACTATAAAATGTATTTTCCTGAATAGAGTGAATATTGAATGCATAAACCAAAGATATCATTACCATTAAAGGCCACAGTGCAACTGCAGAGCCCACATGAAACGTTCTATTTGTCAAAGAATACTGATCAAATATTAAGCAGCCTCGAAGTGTGATCCACATTGATAGTAAGAAATATTTCTTGAGCACCAAATCAGCATTTTAGAATGATTTCTGATGAATAAGGTATACTGCTGAAAACGATGAGGAATATATTACATTTTGAAATACATTCAATAAAAATATTCCACAATATTACTCGTTGTACTGTATTTTTGATCAAATAAATGCAGCCTTGGTGATAATAAGCTACTTAGTTCAAAAACATTTAAAAGGTAGTGTATTTCATCATGCAATAGGGTAATGAGGGGTTGATCAGTTTACTCCTAAACGTAAAAAAGATCATGGACCTGCATTTCCATGCCTCCATCAGAATAATTAGTCATCCGATAACCTGTGTTTGAGTTATGCTGTGATGATACTACTGGCAACTAAAAACAAAAATTCATGCATTGAACAGTTTTTCACATTTCTTTTTATTTCTTCAAGGACAATTAGGAAGTCTAGAGGATCCACTTGTACACATCAAAACAATGGAATCACCACATTAACATATTTAACAATCACTGAAACAGGAGAAATGGTTAAGAGGTCATCTTTACCGCACAACTCCTGAACCACTAAACCACAGACAGCCAATCCAGGTCCTGGAAGCTCCACAATAATGAGACTTGAAGCAGCCTCGCAGTGTGATCCATCAGATCCAAGTTGGAATGTTTTAAAATAAACACTTATCCATGTAACAAAAAACAAAACAAAAAAAGCATCTCTCCACAGATCCAGTGCAAGAAAACAGATGATCTTGGTCACTAGACTGGAGATGATTCACAAGACCATAGTGCTTTACAGATGGAGTATGTGATTTGATTGATCATTAATATAAACAATATCAACAGACATTTAACAGAAGTTGATTTTGGACATTCAGGAGTTAGTAAAATCATGTTTAGTGTGTACCTCCACTTCACAAAAAACATCATAGATAGTAAAGTATTTCAGTAGAGCTAAAAGAAGGCCAACTGATCTTACAAGTTTGATTGTGGCTATAAACAGTGGTTCAGACTGAGTAGATAATCTTAGTGGAGGGAAAACACCATATTTAATTATACAAGAATGAAAATGAGGCTGTGAGGGATAAATGGGCTGTACCTTTAAATATTTCAGCCGATGCAACACTGAAAATACATCTTCCTAAAACATTTCAAGAGGACAAAATCCCTAGTTGTGAAAATTAGATCTTAATATCCAGTAAAATCTACAGCCTCATGTCTGTTTAAATATAGCATCTCATGTCTGTGGCCAATTAAAGTCCACCTCACACTATTTGCAGTGCTGTTCTGCTATGAACTTGCTTTTTAGATGATCGTTTTCAGGATTAACTGATGTGAACAGCAAAGAACTTATTACATATTGTTCAGAGTTTACAGTAACTTATAGAAACTTGCGTCTAGCATGGGTTAAAAAAAATATTTAATAAAAACGCAAACAAATAAATTTGGATTCACAAATATATCTCAAAGTTATCAGAACAAAAGTCACAATTGCTACATATTAAATCAGAATTGCAAGATGTAAACTTGCAATTGGAAGAAAAAAGGTCAAAATTGTGAGATAAAGTCACAATTACCTTTCATCAAGAATTGTGAGATGTAAGATCACAGTTTTGAGAAAAAAGGTAAATATTTTGAGTTTCACAATTCTGAATTTTGTCGAAATTACTTGAACTTTTTTTTTTAAACCCATGGAGGAAACAAGCTTCCACCACAGTGTCCTGGGAGATAAAGACCACTTCTTGCTTCTCAAAAAAATCTAATCAAATAAAAAATAAAAACAAAAATGTACAAGACAACTAGGAAATACGGAATGGCAAACACCCTCATGCTTCACAAAAAACAAACTGCTTTTAATATGTACACACATCAGATTATTATATCCTCTAATTTTTAACCAACCAGGACTAAAGAGAGCCCTACAAAGTGAGGGTCTACACTGGTAGAAATACAATTGGAGATGACTGGTATTTTTATTTTTTTTAACATCATAGTTTTGGTATAACTGTTTTCTCAAAGATAGCATTTACTTGAATTCAGTAGCTACATGAAAGAACACAACACGTGAGAGTGAGATCAGGTCAAGCACACCGGATGCACCAGGTGTCATCACGCAAATACAAGAACATTCTTGCATACAGCGATCAAGAGAATACTTCACGATTTACACCCATCCAATGCAAAGAACCACACTAATGCAATTGATCACTTTTCTTGTACTGTACAGAACAATTACAGCGAACTATATATTGGAGATTGAGATGATTACAAACAGACCCCAACACTGGGTCTATGGACAGTCTGTTCTGTCACCATATGCAGGATCACGGTTTATATTATTAGGCTATTTTAATAAATAAAATACCTTTTGATTTAAAAAAAAAAGAGAGAAATTCTATCATTTAAATGTGGTATTATGACATCATGGAGGTATAGTCAAAAACATTAAGTGATATTTTCATTTTCAGAATTATGAGATGCCAAACTAAGTGTGAAAGTCGTCAAAGATCTGCCTTTGACATGATGCACTCTTTTAAGACAAATTGGTGCACAGAATATTTCAATCTTCAGAAAATGATGGTTAAAAACCGACACAAAGGAAAATACATTTAAATAATTTACTATGTATTTACACCTCCTGTTTGCACCAGCAACACAGCATCTTTGATCTGTAGGTTGTGTAGTCATCTAATCTCCCATTTTTACTTTCGATGTCTAAATAGAGAGAGAGAAAAAACAATGTTGATGATTATACAGGTCTAAAAAAAAAAACCACACAAACACAATCTGACGTACAAAAATATTTGAATAGACTGAATACTGAATGCATAAACCAAAGTTATCATTACCATTAAAGGCCACAGTGCAACTGCAGAACCCACATGAAATGACTGTTTTAATATGAGCTGCTCTTGTGTGGCGGAATAATCTCAATCTGAACTCAAGCATGCATGTCAGATCAATTTACAGAGTGTGACTGGAAATGGTGATAAAATATTCATTTTCCAGAGGATGGTCATAACTAGCTAGATGGATATTAATGACAAATAAATTAAAAGATCATTCTGCTGGAAATCAGATGGGGAGGAATATGCTTAACGACAACACGGTTAGGTAAACTAAAGGCCTGTTCACACAAATAATGAAATGAAGAAGTGAAACAAAAGGCTGACTTAGACAGAGCAAAAAAAAAAACATTCTGGCCATTCAAATGCTTAAATGCAAAATACAAACCATCTGATGACTGTGACAACATCATATATAAATAATAGGTTTAATGACAATAATACTGCTGTACTTTGTATAGTACAGTGCTGTTGGAAGAAAATTTAAGAGGGGAAAGAAAGGCCAAAAGAAACTAATTGATTCTTGTTTGCAATATCCACAACAAATATTCACTCTTGGCATGAAAAAGGCCTTAAGACTAAGATGACAATGACATTTGAGTTTCCTTATTTATTATTTGGGTAATAAATAAAGGCCACTCATGAAGGCCTAATGCTTTTAAAAAATAAAATAAGTTCATAAATTCATTGAAAAAAAACATTCATAATTAAAAACAACAATTTACTACAGTATAGTAGCACCTCATAGATCTCAAAATGTTTTAAATAACTGAAAACCTGAAAAGTCTTACACTTTAATATTCTCTGCTGTCACTAGAAATCAATTGACTAAGTCTGATAAGGTCATGCTAACAATTCATGATTTGCTGCTGAAAGTGAACCACTGGTAATACAACTTTTTTACATTATATTAATGTGTCTGGCAGATGACTTTATCTTAAATGTATTCAAAGTAAACATTTTCAAAACATACATTCAGTTTTTGACCACAACAGCTCATATTCAATAATGCAAGGGTAGATGAAACATATATAAACATCGATTTTAGAAAACGACTTGCCTGCAAGATGGCTACGATCACTCCAAACAGTCCAATGGCACTGCCGAATATTTCAACAATGAGGATCTTGACAAAGAGACTGGCATTCTGAGCATCAGCGAGGGCAGCTCCACTGCCCACAATGCCAACACAGATACCACAGAAGAGGTTTGAAAAGCCAACAGTGAGTCCAGCACCAAACATGGAGTAGCCTGAAAAAACAGAACCAATGTGTCATCCAGTCGCTTAACAGAGGCAGAGGAAAATATTTCAAGTAAGATGACAAGGGATTTAGAAGCACAATTTACCTGCTTGGTAGTTCTTTGCCCCAATAGTCTCTGGAGTTGTACCAGAGAAGTTCTAAATGACAGGAAATGGAGAAGAAAAAAAAAGTTTTACAACTTCTATTGTTGTTCATGTAATGCAGAATGTTGAAAAAAGCACACAAGTATATTAAAATCTCTAACATAAGACTCACTCGAAAAACCAAAGCGTTCAAAGAAATGGGTCAATCAGTTTTAACTTACCTCTGCCAAATTGCTAATGACAATTGCCATGATGATCCCATAAATGGCAACAGCTTCACAAAAGATAATGCTAGAAAAAAAAAGAAAAATTCAATGAACTGTCACCAAGTGCCACTGTGAGCTAAAAAAAAAAAAAAACTTACACAAGCAAATAAAACCAGACAGTTACTAGACAGATGGAATCGTACACAAAAACTGTTTTTGTTTTCATATCAGACAAAAGCAGCATGAATAAATTAAAAAACATATTTCAGTGACTGTTGCCTAAAATTAGACTTAAGTTCTTAGACTTAAGGCTGTTGCCTAAAATTTAAGTTCAGTGTTTTTTAATAGACAATTGCAGGACAACTGTGTGTTAACTAGGGATGCTCCGATCCGCCTTTTTCGCCTCCGATACCGATTCTGATACCTAGGGTTTGGTATTGGCCGATACAGATACCGATCCGATACCAGTGAAGTTTTTATTTATTTATATATCTCTGTGTGTGGAACTGATAATCATTCTTTCACAATCTACTAGATACAGACTACTTCATTATAAAGAAAAATAAAATAAACAAATATGAAAAAATATAGGCCTATGTATATTTATAATCTATGACAAAAAATTATCATAAACTAAGTTAGTGGATAATTCGGCAGCAAAAGATATTCTAGAAAAATCAGTGCACAATAATTTTAGAAATCCAAACATTTAGTGAAAAAACTATATTTTGTGGGGAACAAATAAAAGTGTTGCACTAAATATGGTAAAATG